GTGGTCTATTGTGGGTTACGCGGTAGGTGGACTGAAGCGATTACTCATTGAGGGTTACGTGGTAGGTGGATCTAAATCAACTACTAGTACTCATTGAGAGTTACGCAGTAGGTGGTCTGAATCGATTACTCATTGAGGGTTACGTGGAAGGTGGTCTGAATCAAATACTCATTGAGGGTTACGCGGAAGGTAGTCTGAATCGACTAATTATTGAGGGTTACGCAGTAGGTGGTCTGAATCGACTACTTATTGTGGGTTACGTGGTAGGTAGTCTAAATCGACTTCTCATTGAGGGTTACGCGGTAGGTGGTCTGAATGAAATACTCATTGAGGGTTACGCGGAAGGTAGTCTGAATCGACTTCTCATTGAGGGTTACGCGGTAGGTGGTCTGAATCAAATACTCATTGAGGGTTACGCGGAAGGTAGTCTGAATCGACTACTTATTGAGGGTTACGCAGTAGGTGGTCTGAATCGACTACTTATTGTGGGTTACGTGGTAGGTTGATCTGGATAGACTACTCATTGAGGGTTAAGCGGAAAGTGGCCTGAATAGACTAGTCATTGAGGGCTACGTGGAAGGTGGTCTGAACCGACTACTCATTGAAGGTTACGCGGAAGGTAGTCTGAACCGACTACTCATTGAGGGTTACGCAGTAGGTGGTCTGAATCGACTACTTATTGTGGGTAACGTGGTAGATTGATCTGAATAGGCTTCTCATTGAGGGTTACGCGGGAGGTGGTCAGAACAGACTTCTCATTGTTGGTTACGCGGAAGGTAGTCTGAATCGACTTCTCATTGAGGGTTACGCTGTAGGCGGTCTAAATCAAATACTCATTGAGAGTTACGCGGTAGGTGGTCTGAATCAACTACTCATTGTGGGTTACGCGGAAGGTAGTCTGAATCGACTTCTCATTGAGGGTTACGCGATAGGTTGTCTGAATCAAATGCTCATTGAGGGTTACGCGGAAGGTAGTCTGAATCGACTTCACATTGAGGGTTACGCGGTAGGTGGTCTGAATCAAATACTCATCGAGGGTTACGCAGAAGGTAGTCTGAATCGACTACTCATTGAGGGTTACGCGGTAGGTGGTCTGAACAGACTACTCATTAAGGGTTATGCCGTAGGTGGTCTGAACAGACTACTCATTAAGGGTTACGCAGTAGGTGGTCTGAATCGACTACTCATTGAGGGTTACGCGGTAGGTGGTCTGAACAGACTACTCATTGAGGGTTACGCGGTAGGTGGTCTGAACAGACTACTCATTAAGGGTTACGCAGAAGGTGGTCTGAATCGACTTCTCATTGAGGGTTACGCGGCAGGTGGTCTGAATCGAATACTCATTGAGGGTTACGTGGTAAGTGGTCTGAACCGACTACTCATTGAGGGTTACGCGGAAGGTGGTCATAATAGACTTCTCATTGAGGGTTACGCGGAAGGTGGTCTGAATCGACTACTCATTAAGGGTAACGCGGAAGGTGGTCTGAATAGACTACTCATTGAGGGTTACGCGGTAGGTGGTCTGAATCGAATACTCATTGAGGGCTACGTGGTAGGTGGTTTGAATCAAATACTCATTGAGGGTTACGCGGAAGCTAGTCTGAATCGACTACACATTGAGGGTTACCCGGTAGGTGGTCTGAATCGACTACTCATTGAGGGTTACGCGGTAGGTGGTCTGAATCAAATACTCATTGAGGGTTACCCGGTAGGTGGTCTGAATTGACTACTCATTGAGGGTTACGTGCAAGGTGGTCTGAATAGACTACTCATTGAGGGTTACGTGTAAGGTGGTCTGAATCATCTTCTCATTGAGGGTTACGCGGAATGTGGTCTAATTCGACTACTCATTGAGGGTTTACGCGGAAGGTAGTCTGATGCAAGAACAAGTGTATGTCACTATCCAATTTACCATAATTTTTATTGGCCTTCCAAATTTCCCGGGTTTATCCTGGTCGACCCTTATTTAAAAAACTACAATTGTTTCAATGTTAATTTGTTCTCGTCCTGGACGCATGCAATCCTGTGATGACTTGCTACTGGACTTACATCAAACAGCAACATATGGATAAATCCAATCAATATTTTGTGACATACTTGATCTTATATGACGTCAGAATACATTTACATAGTAATTTTCCAAATTACAAAATGTAAACAGTCTCTGAGAAATTGGACAATGGACACAATGATTCACACTGCACTGTGCGCTACTACGAGTTCATTATCACTCAAGAAATTGTTGAAAGGTGACATTTTTTTTGTTCCTCGGAATCTCATGTTGTTTTCCTTACCTAATGTACTTAATGTAATGTACAGAGCATAATCTTCAATATACTTGCTCAGATAAAAAAATATATAAAATGTTCAACGGCTTGAGCGTTCATTTTTTCACGTCTTTTCAAAGTAGTTGTATCGTTCTAATTTATTTTTTATGCACTGCACCTGTGCATTAATCTCACGTGAAATTAACATTGAAATGACCACTGTCCGGTATGAAAATCTGAACTCTATAAACTTGTTAAAATATCTTTGAATGGGTTGCATGATGCTATATGCTCAAGGCATTATCGTATTGTATATTAGTATGTCTTTCTTAAAACAATACTATTTCAGAAAGTACAGAAAATATGAGAGAGAATTTCTATTTGTAATCAAGCACGTAACGGTCTCAACATTACAGGCTTCAAAACACCATGGGTTTAAAGACACAACAGAATTTATCTGCACTGCATAATCTAAATCTGTATTCTCATTACTGTCAACACTGAGATTGCAAGTTCGAGTTCCGCACGTGGCAGGTGCGTTCGACTTCAATCTTAATTGACTAGGATTGAGAGTTTGCCTACCGAAGGTCGATAGTTCTCTCCGGGGACTCCGGCTTCCTCCACCAATGTAAACTGGCCGCCACGAAATAGCCAACAGTGTTGAAAGTGGTGTTAAACACCAATAAATCAATGTTTTTTTCATTAACTTGTTGCAGATGTTAATGTGTTGCCCTCTAATTTGCCGCAGACGTTATGCTGCCCTCAGATTTGCTGCAGACGTTATGTTGTCCTCTAATTTGTTACAGACGTTAATTTTCCCTCTTATTTATTGCAGACGTTATATTGCCCTCTAATTTGTTGCAGACGTTATGGTGCCCTCTTATTTGTTTCAGACGTTATGTTGTCCTCTAAATTATTGCAAACGTTATGTAGCCCTCTATTTGTCTGTTGGTTATTTTAGTCGTTGGGTTGTTGTCTCATTGACTTTCACGCCACAGATTCTTAATTCGTACATGTAGTTAAAACATATGAACTGATACCATAAATTCGTATGCGTGTGCAAAAGTAAAGACAAAATAAAGCATATGGTGTGTAAAAAAAATGATTATATCACTACGTCCGTATAAACATGATGTTAATTTAGGAGAAGACTGATAATGATTGAATGACATTCTCAGAATTACAGAGGAAATAAGTATCAGATGTAGGTTCAATATCATAACATCTGTGGTGTGCCGAAAGTATTGGTAAGGGCATTTCAGAAATATTTGACACTGGCTTTCTCATGTTTACGAGATTGCTGAAAAGTTCAGGAGGTCCGTTTTCCAAACTGAATGCAAGTACCACTTATGTCTATTGGGTTTTGTGTCGTTTGGTTGCTGTCTCATGAAATGAGTGTCATCTTTGGATTTTTTTAATAGATGATAGGCTTTAGCTTGAGTATGCCAAACACTGTTTTCAATTAATAATTTAGAACGACTGCAAAATCTAATCTTTTATGATTATTAATATCAATCATATCATTTTAAGTGGTAGCCCAAATGTCCTGCCCTTCATTCCTGTCAACCCAGCAGAACCAAATATGGATTTATTATTAATATTTGTCAACATTCTGAAAGGGTCAATAAATATGGTTACGTCTAGATTTTTCCCACTCTGTAGTAAAATACAGGCTTAAAATGAGCGTCTGTATGACTGTGTGCGATGTATAAATACGCAGCCACGACTAAACAGTAGTAATATAGAGACGTTTAATCCGATGTCTTGTGTAGGGAGAGTGTTACACATGAAAAATATATCTATGAATTATTGTTAAAAAGCAAAATAACAAAAAAACCGAACTCAAAGGAAATTTCAAAACAGAAAGTCCCTTATCAAATGACAAAATCAAAAGCTCCAAACACATCAAACGAACGGAAAACAACTGTCATATTCCTGACATGGTATAGGCATTTCCTTATTTATAATGTGAATTAAACCTGGTTTTATAGCTAGCTAAACCTCTCACTTGTATAACAGGCTTATAGAATTCCATTGTATTGACAACAATGTGTGAGCAAAACAAACAGACATACTATGTCTTAAATTGTGATACAGAAGTCAATATTATGTTATAATCGTAATCACTATAAAAACAAAAAACTATTTTAACGAAGAATAACAAAAATGCATATAGACACTCTATAGACTCAAGTACATAAGCAAAAATGATAGACCAGAATACAAAAATGACCATAGCACAATAACACAAAGGCGGGATGTATAAATACCCAGCCACGCCAAAAGTATGTACCAAAGATGGACTAAACTGTAAAGGGTTAAAATATACAAAGACAAATAAAAAGAACATATAACATTATTTTTTTCTCTTCCTGAATATGCAAGATATATTTGTCAGTGGAGGTTAAGCAAACAACAATCAAACCTGATAACATTCGGCTATTGGCATCAGTAAGTCGTTTGACTCACTACAAATAAGGGTCACTGGTTTACTAGATATTTGTTTCATTGACAATCATACCACATCTCTTTATGTCTATATTAAGCATACACGCACGGATAATTTTGTCAATTTATAATACAATTAAATATGGATGCTCGGCGGGAAGCATTTGTCAACTAATGTAAACAAGGATGTGTACCTAGTAAATAAACAATACGCACATGTGCACTTTGTATATCACCATTTGTGACGAGAATTGTAAAACATTTTGAACGAAATGAAAATCAGTCTAACATCCTAATATTCCATTTTTTAAAACAAATTACAAACGTAACATTTATTGATTAACATCAATACACACTTCATCTAATCATGTTCCGTCTCCTTTACCTATACGTGGTAACCTTTGAGGGCAAACTCAATAAGGGCCTCTGTGTGATTCCTTGGTAAAATCGTGTACGTGTTTAGCATACCAGCAGACATATGTAATGCTAAATGACAATGAATAAGCCACGTTCCTGGGTTATCTGCAAACATTTCTACAGTTTCATAGGATCCTGGAACAACACCAACCACATCATCCCGGAAAGATAATGCCGAAGTTTTTATAAAAGTTTGTCCATGAAAATGATTTGAATGTATATCTCGGAAGGAACCAAAGGAGTACGTGTACCATGCTATTGTATCACCTTCTACCATTTCTAGGTTCGGTATGTTAGAAAAAATAAATCCATTAATACTAAACTTAGTATTAGATAGTTGGAACATTGAGTCATCCAGATTCGTTCTGTTCGGTGCTCTCTCTCGTACATTCTCGTCAAAGTAATGGCTATTAGCTTCATTGAATATAACAAAAGCTAACGCAAATTCTTTGTTTGTGTTGTCCATTCTGTTGTTATAAACATCCAAAACACCTCTTTTACAAATAAGTAGCGGTCCCATCAGACCTGTGGCAATATCCTTATGAGGGTAAACAGGCGAATTATATGTATATCCAACACAGTTAGGCTCATTTCTACCAGGACCGGATCGTTCTGGAACTCGCCATCTGTAAATTTTCATATCTCCTGGTTTTACACCATTTCTTAAGTGTTTAGACATTTCATTATCCAGTGGTAGATTCTTCAAGTATATAGAATTATCAAAAGACGCCATATTTTTGAAAAAAACTTGAATGACGTCTCCAACTTCTGCCTTAATGAATGGTCCAAGTATTCCGAGATGGTTATCTTTTTCTGTACGCTGTACCTGTCTTGAGAATGATGCATCATAGAACTCCCTGTACACAGTCTTTTTATACTGTGTGCCAATAAACATGTCAGTGTTACGAACGTATATATTACCCGGTCTAAAATAAAAACATCATGTTAAACTTTATGTAGCATCACCACCGGATAAAGGTACCCCCGAAGAGGTGGAAAAAACAAATGTGAAGTCAGGTCAAAATCTTCTTATTTTCATTACATTGTACGTTTTGCTAACAAGTTAAAATTATTTTGTGATAGTTATTCCTAATAGTGTAGCTACTATTTAGGGCTGATTATTATCCTTAATTGGCTTTCTCTCTCTTCCAATCGTCAGGGGGCCTCGGTGGCCGAGTGGTCTAAGTAGTGACTACTGTAATCACTAGCTAGTCAACACTGAGGTTGTGAGTTCGAACTCCGCTCGTGCGGGTGCACTCGACTCCAATCTTAATTGACTAGGATTGTCAGTTTTCCTATCAAAGGTCGGTGGTTTTCTCCGGGCACCCCGGCTTCCTCCACCAATAAAAACTGGCCGCAACGAAATAGCCCAAAAGCGGTGCTTAAAAGTAGCGTTAAAACACCAAAAAATCAAAAAATCAAATCCAATCGTCAGAATCGGATAAGGAAGTACCTGTTTAACGGAGCATGTAACGAGTTCAAACTTATTAAAAACACATTTATCTTCCAACTATTCACTTGACGTTTTGCGTAGTATAAAGCAGGGGCGGTTCCAGCCATTTTTAAAAGGGGAGGGGTTCCAACCCAGGATAAAGGGGGTTTCCAACCATATGTCCCAATTTAAAAGCATTGATCGTAAAAAAAGAGGGGGGGGGAGGGCAACCATATGTCCCCATTCAAAAGCATTGATCGTCAAAGAAAGGGGGTTCCAACCCCCGGACCCCCCTCCCACTGCAAAGGTAAATCATATTTAAGCTTGAACAATACTGTTTTTCGCAATAAACTTGTTTACAGAGAAATTCATGTAAATAAAGCAGATAAATTGTACAGCGAACAGCGGCGAACAGTTGTTTACTGTGCGGGGATTGGAAAAGGTACTTTTGGCTATTATTGTTTCTTTGCTTTGGGGGTACCTATATCCGGTGGTGATGCTACACAGTGTTAAAGTACAAATGACATTCTTGATAAATAATAAAAATCACAAAGAATTGGAAGGATCTCATGCGATCTAAGATAGCAATATTTGTAACCGTAACTCATCAGTAATTATATTATATAATATTCTACCTTAATAATTATAGTCTCTGGACATCTTCATATCTAAATAACTTTCTTACTTTAATACACATGTATAGGTTTTCTTATTCATTTATCATTTTCAATTGACCAATGATGTCATCTTACTTACGTATTTGGATCTCTAAGATCCCCCATTGTCACAATGTTTAATTTTCTCGGTGCATAATCCCAGATAACATCTACAGCTGCTATATAAATCGTGCGAATTACAGTCTTCCCATAGACAGGAACAGACACGAACAGAGGGCGATTACACGTGTCTACATTATATCTAGTTACCATGCCGTCTGTCTGAGATTCTAACTGACCAGCATGGAGAAGCCATGTTCCTATAAATACAAAGAAACGGAATATTCAACCAGTCTTAAAACTACAATTTTTAAAGCCTGAAGAATAATGTCAGAAATACGTTAGTTAAGATAAGCTAAAAATTTAAATAACGTTTTATATCAATTTGGTGCGTTCGAAACACCTTTATGGATGGCAATGGAAATACTTAAATATTTGAATGCTTGTTGAAAAGATATCAAAAGTTAATCGATTGACAATATAAGAATAAAACAAACAAATTCCATTACAAACCAAAGTGTCAACAAAGGTAACGTTATACAATTGTTTACTAAAACTATCATATAATATACTTAATAGGAAACACGGTAAAACTATCATATGATATACTTAATAGGAAACACGGTAAAATTATCCAATGAAAAACAGTCATTTGAAAAAACAAATGCAAGTGATTTAGAAGAATCTAATTGCTCAATCTTTAATTTTATATGTAGTGTTTTGTCGACTGTTATTTGTCTTTTTGTAGTTTTTTTCTTTTAACCATGGGTTTGTCTGATTGTCTTAAACTAGTGGTTTGTGTTGCCCTTTGGACCATGTGTTTGTCTGATTGTCTTCAGCTAATGGTTTGTGTTGCCCTTTTCTAAATTAAATTCTAACACTTAGTAATGGCAGTCTAGTTAAAAAAAAAAAGAAAACATAAAATTACCTAGGTTATCTGGAGTCATATAAGCAGTCTGACTAGTTCCCGGGAAAACAGTTACGTGATCAATCATTCGGCCATCATATTGGACGTTGTTTCCTTCAAACACTGGATTCTGGTGATCAAATCTTTCACCAAAACCAAGAACATGCCAGGATACTCTGTCTCCAACACACATGTCAAAACCGTCAATGTTCCCGAAAACTCGACCGTTTATTGCTGTGATAAACTATAATGCATGTTAAAAGTGCATTGCATCATAAGAGGGACATACAAACGTACAATTATAAATGTAAAGATATTTGACGATTAAGCTAGATGGATACCGAATAGTGACGGTGTTTGGAATTTCGGAACAAAAAAGGTTTAAACAGTAACATGTGATTGAAGAAGTATAAAGTAACACAATAAATCCCATTATATAGGATGTTTTTAAGTTTGACGTCCTCATGAACGCTGTCTCATTGCCGTTTTCCTATGACGTTGTATGTCGTATGAGCAGTAAGACACATAGTATGCTTGGTGGATCTAGATCGTCATTTCCTGGCATCAAATGTTTGATGAAATGGCATACTGCCATTAATACATGCTTGGATACCAAAATCAATGAAATAATCAATGAATCCAAAATTCTGCATTGCAAACTCGAAGGCTAATATACATTGAATCAAAGTGGTGTCATGCATCATAGTTATATGTTTATATTCGGGATACATACCTCTTGAATTGTTTACATCTCTAAACATATCGTTTTCTTGGTCCACTATTTTTCATACGACGTTTATAATGGGATGCATACCTCTTAAAGCGTTTACATCATCTCTAAACATAGTATTTTCTTTTTCTTGGTCAACCATTGTTCATACGACGTTTACAATCGGGATACATACCTCTTCAAGCGTTTGCATCATCTCTAAACATAGTGTTTTCTTTTTCATGGTCCACCATTTTTCATACGACGTTTATAATGGGGATACATACATCTTAAAGCGTTTACATCTTTAAACATAGTGTTTTCTTGGTCAACCATTGTTCATACGACGTTTATAATCGGGATACATACCTCTTAAAGCGTTTACATCTCTAAACATATTGTTTTCTCGATCAACCATTTTACCATTCAGCATGGCCAATGATATACTTTGATTAAAGTACCAGCTATCTTGTTCAAACCAATTCATCAACATTAGGAAAAATTCTTTGTTTACACCATGCTTTAAATCAAATATGTTTTGTTTATGAAAATTATATTGACAAATCATATTGACAAATCATATTGACAAATCATATTGATAAATCATATTGACAAATCATATTGACATATCATATTGACATGTGGCGATTTGATGTATTAGACATGGGCTTTCTATTTGTTGATGTATCGTATAAACACTATTGTCAAACACCATAACCATTAGACATTGGGACTTTCTATTTGTTGATGAATTGTATCAACACTATTGTCAAACACCATTACCATTAGACATTAGGACTTTCTATTTGTTGATGAATGTATCAACACTATTGTTAAACACCATAACCATTAGACATGGGGCTTTCTATTTGTTGATGTATTGTATAAACACTATTGTCAAACACCATAACCATTAGATATTGGACTTTCTATTTGTTGGTGAATTGTATCAACACTATTGTCAAACACCATAACCATAGACATGGGGCTTTCTATTTGTTGATGAATTGTATCAACACTATTGTCAAACACCATAACCATTAGACATTGGGACTTTCTATTTGTTGATGAATTGTATCAACACTATTGTCAAACACCATAACCATTAGACATTGGGACTTTCTTTTTGTTGGTGAATTTTATCAACACTATTGTCAAACACCATAACCGTTAGACATTGGGACTTTCTTTTTGTTGGTGAATTTTATCAACACTATTGTCAAACACCATAACCATTAGACATGGGTTTTCTATTTGTTGGTGAATTCTATCAACACTATTGTCAAACACCATAACCATTAGACATTGAGACTTTCTATTTGTTGGTGAATTGTATAAACACTATTGTCAAACACCAGTACCATTAGACATTGGGGCTTTCTATTTGTTGGTGAATTCTATGAACGCTATTGTCAAACACCATAAGCATTAGACATGGGTTTTCTATTTGTTGAGGAATTGTATCAACACTATTGTCAAACACCATAAGCATTAGACATTGGGGCTTTCTATTTGTTGAGGAATTGTATCAACACTATTGTCAAACACCATAAGCATTAGACATTGGGGCTTTCTATTTGTTGAGGAATTGTATCAACACTATTGTCAAACACCATAACCATTACACATTGGATCATTCTATTTCTTGATGAATTGTATCAACACTATTGTCAAACACAATAACCATTAGACATTGGGGCTTTCTATTTGTTGATGAATTGTATCAACACTATTGTCAAACACAATAACCATTAGACATTGGGACTTTCTACTTGTTGATGAATTATATCAACACTATTGTCAAACATTATAACCATTTGGCATGGGTTTTCTATTTGTTGGTGAATTCTATGAACACTATTGTCAAACACCATAACAATGGAAATTGTAACTTATATGTTTTTAAATTGTTTAACAGTTGTGCATTGATATTTCACCATTTTATCAAAATACGGGTGTTTTTTAATAATTAAACTGACTTTTCTTCCTAGGAAAATTAATATCACAGGCTTTTATGATGTACATAATCACAAATGTTCCTTTCTTGATTTTGATATTAATTTAAATGATGTCTTAAGAAATAAACTTCTAAAGGGACTTTTTTCATACAAAAAAGGAGAATACAGAAATATAAAATTTTTCCTAGGAAAATAGGTGCCAGG